GAGGACGAGCAGGAGGAGCACGAGGACGAGCAGGAGGAGGAGGAGGAGGAGGAGGAGGAGGACGAGCAGGAGGGGAGGGCGGCCGGCTGCCCCGGCCGGCTGCCCCGACCGGCCACGCTTGCGCCCGGCCGCGGAGCGCGGTCAAGGGAAGGGGGCGGGGGCGGGCGGTCAAGGTTGATACCCCCTCCTCGCTCGTTCCACTGCCTGCTCGCAGCAGTGGCACCAGCACATGCACAAGAGATTCCTGCATGAACTGTTGTACTTGCATATCTGATGGCCTTCGGCCAAGGTCGTGCGCACCAGGGCTCTGAGGAAGGCTCCTTGCGCCCTTCTGGGGAGCCCCTCTGGGGAGCCCCTCGGACGAATTATTCGGGCCTTCTGCTCGCCATGTCGGGCCTTCCTGGGGGACAGACACACCGGGCGAATTATTCGGGTCTTCTGCTCGCCATGTCGGGCCTTCCTGGGGGACAGACACACAAACATGGGCCTCTCATATGTGCGCGCCGACTTAGGGCGACGCATGTGCCTGGTCCAGCACGCGCGGTGCCCCCGGGGAGGGGTTGCGGTTTTGCCAGATTGTGAGGGCGCTTCGGAGCGGAGCGCCCCTCCACATCCTTCCTGATCCCTCACTTATTTCAACCCGCGCTCCCTCAGGTGCACACTGCCGGCGCCAGCGCGAAGATAACAAGCACCTGGGGGGCGCCCCGTTCCGCGAATCCCACTGCAGAGCGGGGATCTCGACCCCCCAATGGGATTCGTGGAGCGGGGGGGGCCTTGAGAGGCCGAAACATTTTTTTGGGCGGGGGGGGCTGCCCCGTTCCCTCGGATGGGCACAGCCCCCCCCTCGCCGGCCTCCTCTCCTTGATCCCTCCTCCTAACGTAACGCGCCCGCTTTAAGTTAGTGCATATGATACATCGACATGCTGTTCGACCCAGAGATGCTCCTACACATGGCTGTTAGGTTGCTTTGCCGGGATAATCTACATAGTATTTCCAGCCGACGTAGTTCGCATGGCGATAGTTTGGGAGGCACCATGTGTTTCTTTTCAAATGATGTTAGTCAAGGCCTGGACCCGCGCCCTGTTTTCCAACACAACGGTTCGAAGGGTCTGAGCGGGTTCCAAGACGTCGCCAACAAATTCCAGTACCCGGCTAAAACGCACACTACCAATACTTGTGTGTGTCAGTATCTGACAGAGGCAGGTACGACGATGTTATTGTGGCCTTCATTTTGACGATGACATGCGACGCATCCTTTGTTGGTATTGCTTCAGTGTGACACACGAAGCATTTGGACCACTGGGGACCTCCACACTGGGATTGACTCGCCAGATGCAAACGGTCAGAATTCGCAGTTTGGTGTCAACGGCAATACTTCCTATTCGAGTTTCGGAGTCGTTCCGAGAATTATGACATTCCCCTGAACACGGCTGTGGACATACGCTTCGTTTGTTCCAAGAGCGGAGGCACAGTGGATTTGTATGAACGGTGTCATCACAGAGACCTTGGCGCACGACGGCGCCCAGTCGATCAAGTTCACGGCCGCAAAATCGGGGTGTTATCGGGGTGGTATCGGGGCGTTGGCAGCCTGCGACGACTCCTCATCCTCCACCTCCTACCTCCCTCCCTCCTCCCTCCTCCCCCCATCCTCCTCCCTCCCTCCCTTCCTCCTCACACCTCCTCCTCCCCCTGCTCCCCTTGCCTTCCATTGCTCCCCCTCCCCCTCTGCCTTCCGAACAAGGTTCCTCCAACTCATTCCTCCCTCCTCCCTCCCTCCCTCCCTCCTCTCCTCCCTTCCCTTACTCCCTCCTGTCCCTGTATCCTAACCTACCTCCTCCATTTCCTCGTCCTGCTTTTCACTCCTTCTTTTTGCTCCTGCTCCTCCTCCTGCCTCCGCCCCCCCTCCCCTCCCCCCCCTCCTCTCTCCTGCCGCTTGCTGCGCCGCCCCGCCCCGCCCGCCGCCTCCCCCCCCGCCTCGCCCGCCCTTCCTCTTCCCCCCTTCCTGCTCACTCGTCCTCCTTTCTCCCTCGCTCACGCCCCTCCCCTCCCATAACTCCCCCCTCAGCTACCTGTCATCCCTCATTCCTCCCTCCTCCTCCTCCCCTCTCACCCCCTCCCTCTCCTCCCCCCCTCCGCCTCCTGTCCTGCTCCTCCTCCTCCTCCTGCTGCTTGCTGCTCTCTTCCAATCCTCCTCATCATCATTATCATCCCTCCCTCCCTCATCTTCCCTTCCTCCATCCTCCCCCTGTTCATCCCTCCTCCGCCTCTCTCTCCTCCTGCCTACTACTCCTACCTCCTCCTCGTCCTCCTTCCCCCCCCCCCTCCGCCTCCTACTCCCCCTCCCCCCTCCGCCTCCTACTCCTCATCCTCCTCCTCCTCCTGCTTCTGTTCCTCCTGCCCTGCGTCCTCATCATCCTTGCCCCCTCCCTTCTCCCTCCTCCCTTTTCCCTCCCCCCCCCTCCCGGGAGGAGGGGGAGGAGGAGGAGGAGGAGGAGGAGGAGGAGGAGGAGGAGGAGGAGGAGGAGCAGCAGGAACAGCAGGAGCAGCAGGAGCAGGAGAAGGGAGGAGGAGGAACGAGGAACGAGGCCTGGCGCAGCCGTCCGTCAGGACGAACAGCTGGCGGCGCGGCCGAGGCGGCCAGTCCTCAGGCGAGGACGAGGATGGCGCCCACCACGAGCAGCACCGTGGGCCCGCCCCCGAGAAGCGGGCCAGACGGGCCATCAGCGTAGCCGAGGACGCCGTTCCCGTTGCACTCCACTAGGGGGCCAATCGGGCCGTAAAATGAAGTGCGCGGAGTTGCCGTCGAAGAAGTGGGCGAACTCGCAGCACATGACATGACGTGGTCAAACACCTCCATCATGAATTCGCGCCAGCCGCCGCACGAGCTTCACGGCCTGAACCACACCCTGGACCAGCGCGGGATACATGCCCCGCAAGACCTGCAGGCAGTCCAGCAGCCGCTCCTGCGCGTGCGTCAGCGACTGGCGCATGCAACGTGAGTACAACGCCCTCCTTCGGGTGAAGGCCACGAAGGAGCCGCTTCCTCCTCGACGTGATGTTGGAGAGGTAGGTTTTCCCCTTCCCCTCTCCAGCGGGCGCGCCTCCGCAGCTGGCCATCAGCTGCTTGGACACGCCTCCGCCCGACCATGCCACGCACACCTCGCAGAAGACGGTGGGCCCCGCGCGACGGAGCCGATGCCCATTGCAGACGTGCATGTCGGTGGAGTGCCATTCTGAGACCAGCGGCTCGGCAGCACGATCAAGGCCAGGCATGGACTCCCAGCCATCGCCATTTGCCTCACACCCAGCACGATCAAGAGCGTCCATGGCAAAGGCACCTGCAGCAGAGACCTGGGCCCTGGTGGCACCACAGAACTGGCTCATGGCTTCCGCGCGCAGCTCGTCCACCCTGTTGGCCAAGCATGGGGCCCGAAGGTAGAAGTTCCACGCCTCCCTTGACCCCGAGCTGGTACGCCTCGCACAGCGCCTGCAGACAAAAGAGCCATCTTGCAGCTTGGCCACAACGTGGGTCGTGGCCTGCACCGACGGCTGCTTGACCTCCTTGAGACGCGACGGTGCGTCCGACACATCAGGCTCCCATGTGCCCACATTCAGTGTGCGCTGCATGGCCCAGCCGATGTACGAGGCAACCTTCTTGGCAAAGACGATCTCCGCCTTGTAGATCTCCTCGTAGACCTTGGGCGGCGCGTGCGAATCTGCGCCGCGCCTGGCAAACCAGTCGGCCCACATGTTGCCCAGGAAATGTACTGGGCTGAGGTCGCGCCCGATGTAGCCCTCTATGCTGCGGTGGGTGGGGATCCAGTGAACCTGCGGCCTCCTTCCTTGGGCACGGAGGAAGCGCCAGACCGTCGCATGAGCAGCAGCAGCTCCCTCAAGCTCAGGACCCCACGATGCCGCCTCCGACCCCGGCGCCAGCAAGTCAGTGAGCACTAACTCCAGCTTGGCACCGAAGTGCCGCACGGCCATGAGGAGCGCGT